TTTTTGATATTTTTAGAGTGAGAAAGAGTTCTTAGAGTGGGGAAGTAACCTTCAACCTAATATCCAACAATTCTTGCTCAATCTTTGAAGATTATCAAGAAAGTCTTCATCCTAAAGGTAAGAGTCTATGCCCTAGCCCTTAATTTCAAAAATTTACTAAAAAGGGAGTAATTAGCAAGACAATTTTTGGGTGTGGGAGTTGTTACCTTGCATGCATGTGTTATCAAATAATGTAGGAAGGTTGTGAGCTAAAAATGGTAGAGAATGGGTTGAGGGATGATGGAATCTTTCGTAAAAGGGCCTTAAAGACCTTAATGCACACATAGTGCTTGATAATATGCTCAAATGAGCTAGAATCATGATCATCTTCCTAATGTTGGTTCAACTTATTATATTTCTAAAATAGATCAAAGTGCTAAGAATTTCGGAACGTTTTAAAGTTTAAGAAAGCTCAATTGAGGTATGTTAGCTAAACCCCTTTATTCTTAGAATCGAATCCCATAGTATTCACGTAATTGGTGTAAGTCCCAAATTGATTATTATAGAATTGGCTATTCCTAATGTGTTTGTGTTGAAGGACGTATGTTCAATATTTATTCTAAATGCTTCATCATGTCATCTTCCCAATTGAGGATAATGTTAAGACTTCATGTCATGATCGAATAAAGGTTGTTATGCCAAATTGTATAAAAAGTCTCTATGTGCCTAAGATTCCCAAATTGCTCATATGTGAATTTAATGTCTTGAATGGGAAGCCTTATTGTGGTTGATATTGATAATGATGTTTGAATATGGAAAGGGGAACTGGAAATATGAAGTACGGCCAAGTACCAAGAATGACTTCATAATTGTGGCCACCAATGCCAATGAATTGAAAGGATGTGGAAGAAGTATGATTTGATATGATTGATTGAAAAAGGTAATGTCTCGGGTGAGACGGCCTAGCCGATCGGGCCGTGATCGGACGCCATGCCGCACACATGGTGGTGATTGTGCTAGAAATGATAATTGAAATTGTGGTTATAGTTGATGTCTCAAATGAGACGACCTAGCCGATCGGATCGTGATCGGACTCCGTGTAAGAATACAATGGTATTGTGAATTATGGTATATCGGCTCTAAAGATCACCCAACCTAATAATATAGAAATTGACTTGAGAACTTATGTGATCCTTACTTGATGTTTTAGTATTGTTTGAAGCTCTTATTGAACTCATGACTGTTTCCCCCTTGTATTATTATTCATTCTATTGAGATGGTGTTTAGTTTTATATACTAGTACTATTCGACAGTACTAACGTCCCTTTTGCCGGGGGCGCTGCATCTTTAAATGGATGCAGGTGGTTCCATAGCAGGCAGTGTTGATCAGCGATAATGGTACATCCTCTTCCCAACAGACTTGGTGAGCCCCATTTCATCCTGGGGTCATGTATTGTATCTTTTGTTCATATTATTATCACGTTTTGAGGTATAGCCCGGGCCTTATTGCCGGCACTATTATAACACTCTTTTGTATCTTTTAGAGGCTCCGTAGACACTATGTGGGTTGTACATGGGTGCTAGAAAAGTCAAACAGATTATGTTGTGTTTTGATCTCTTGCTCCACTCGAGTCATAAGAATGTGTGTATCTTGAAACTTAAAAGTGATATAACCAATGAGACAATCTAGTATTGTATATATGACATTCCTACTATCTAATTAATGAAATCATGTCTTCTCTTGATCATGGGTGAGTTGGATAGAAAGTATCTAACAGGCTTGCTCGACCGGGTTCACTCGGTTGAGCACCGGTTGCGGTTCCCGAGGTTGGGGGTGACAATGACAATTGGAAAGTTTGACCGAGAGTTGACTTTATTGATATCGGGGTCAACTTTTAATTTTGGAAGTTGGAATAGGTCTGTTGTGTCATTTATGACTTGTGTGCAAAATTTAAGATCAATCGGCGTTGGTTTGGTATGAATCGGCGTTAGTTTTGGATCTTAAATGTTCGTGGATTCAATAGGTTTGAAATGCAGTGCGATTCATAGATTGGATATTTTTGATGTGATTTTAGGCCTCGAGTAGTTTCGTTATGTATTTTGAAACTTGATGGTATGTTTGGACGGGGGTCCCGGGGCCCCCGGATGTGATTTGGATTGAATCCGGAACTATTTTGGACTTGGTTGATTGCTAAAGAACTGTTGAGTCTGGTGCAATTGCACCTGTGCACTTTGGGCCACAGGTGCGGCACCACAGAAACGGCCTCAGAGCCGCAGAAGCGAGACTTGGCCTAGAGCACAGGTTTTGCATGTGCGGACGAAGACGCACATATGCGCATCCGCAGAAGCGGGAGAGGCACCGCAGATGCGGAATTTGGATTTTGGTGTTGGACCGCAGAAGCGGTCACTTATCCGCTGAAGCGGGACCACAGAAGCGAATTTGCATGGGCTTAATGAAAAGCCGCACCTGCGATGGATTTTTCGCAGGTGCGGAGCCGCAGAAACGGTTGTTGGTCCGCAAATGCGGAATCACTGGGCAGAAAAGGGGTAGATCGGGGATTTTGTTCCATTTTTCACCTTTTGAGTTAGAGACCTCGATTTTAGGCGATTTTGGAAAGTATTTTCAAGGAGTTGATTGTGGTAAGTGATTTTGACTCGGATTTAATTATTATACATGAATCCACCATTATTATTATCATTAATCAGTGTTTTGGGTTGGAAAAATTGGAAAGTTTTGTGAAAACTTCCTACGCTATAATTTGAGGATTTGAAGATCGATTTGAGGTCGAAATTGAATAATTTTAGTATGGTTGGACTCATTATTAAATGAGTACTCGGATTTTGTAAGTTTGGTCGGGTTCCGAGATGCGGACCCGAGGTCGACTTTTTGAGTTTACTTTTTAATTTTCTTTAAAGATTGCAACTTTATTATCTAGAATAGTTTCCTATGGTTTGTATTTATAGTATTAAGTTATTTTGGCTAGATTCGAGCCGTCCGGAGTTGGATATTCGTGGGAAAGGCTTACTAGTGGATTGAGTTAGCTTGTTTGAGGTAAGTATCTTGCCTAACTTTGTGTGAGAGAACTACCCCTTAGGATTGGGGTTGACCGTGCTATTTGTGATATGTGAAAGTTGTGTACGCAAGGTGACGAGTGAGTGCACGAGCTATATATAGTATTTGACCGATTTAGGCTATTTAGACTCTTTTCATGCCTTTAATCAAATTGTTATGACATGTTATACTTTTCATTGCTAATCTACCCTTACACGTGTTAATATATCTTTACATTCTTTATTTGACAATGTTAATACTTGTTCCATATCTTACTTGTTATTTGCCCTTACATGCTTAGTTGAAGTTATTATTTCCTTTTTGCCCTGTTAATTACTTAATTGTTAAGTTACCTTACTTGAAGTTGTTAATTCATGGAACATATCTTGTTTAGCTATTGTCGTTAAAGTTGTAAAAGCCATTATCACTTTGAGGCGAAGTTGTTAATTATTGAGATATCATTCTTGTTGAGCTATTCACCATTATTTTGTTATTGTTGAGATTCTTATATACATTGTTGTTGAGCCATGGACTATTTTGTTGTAAAAACATTGGTATTGTTGATTCTTTTGGCAAGATGTGGCATATGTGCACTTATGGTGCGAGTTGTTATTGTATTGTGATATTTATGCGTATGTGGGCACTATAAGGATAGGGGTTAATGTGCATGCGGCGGCATAAGGTGAGATTTATGTGCATGTTGTTAGTAAGGAAATTACTTGAAGCCACGCGCCGACATAAGGTGGGCTAAAGTGAGTGTAGCTATTTCAGAAAAAATATTTTCAAACTATCTAAATGTAAGGCTCACGCGGCGGTATAAGGAAAGATTGTGAAAAGTGAATACGAGGCGGTGCCTCAGTTGTGATTCTTGTTGTTATCTTTCATTTACCTCACTTGTATTTTCCCGCATTGTTTTCTTGATGTTATTATTATGTGTTTCTTCTTTGTTGGCTTTATTGCTCTAAATTCAGTTGTAGCTTATCTTGTTGTATTTCTTTACTGCCTCATTTTCCTCGTTTCCCTTATTAGACTGTACTACACTTAATTAACTTATTTGTTTTCTTATCCTAGTAGGTGTCTTGACCTGAACTCGTCACTACTCTACCGAGGTTAGGTTTGATACTTACTGGGTACCGTTGTGGTGTACTCATACTACGCTTCTGCATATTTTTTATGCAGATCCAGTTACATCACATCAGGTTAGGCATCATTGATTGGCTATAAATCTCGAAGATTTCAAGGTATACCTACTTGGCGTCCGCAGGCCTCGTTTCTACTGCTTACTCTTTACCTACTCTTTACAACTATCATATTTTAAAAAATGTAATTTTAAGTTCTATTATTATTTCTGTTATTTCTCCATGCATGATAGTCTTACATGCTCTTAGAGATTAGGTGCAATCACGACATCTTAAGGTGGGAGATTTAGGGTCGTGACATACATGATCTATTTAATTCTTTATTACAATTGAGTAAACAATTGTTCTATAATAAATACTATTATAGCCAGAGGTGGATCCAACATATAAATTTAATGGGTTCAAACTTGCATTGAACTCATTATATTGTTAAAACTATGGGTTCCAATCTTACATTTTATAAAAGTTTAATAGGTTTTTACATATATATTTATACCCTGTATGAAAAGTTATGGATTCAGATGAACTCATAAATTTTATGCTACATCCGCCACCGACTATAGCCAAATTAAACACATGATTAATAGTATATAACCTAATATATACTACAACAAATTTGGCCTAAAGCCACCTCATTTTTGACAACTCTTGAAAAGCATGACCAAATATATCTACGACAACACTTTATAAGCGTGGTCTTTGAAAAGAAATTTTGGCTACGATTTATTAGGTGACGATTATGAAGCGTTCCTATTAATAATATAGAGTATACTTTTTAATTATTGCCAAATCATAAATATTGGCAACATTTATTCGTATGTGATGCAACGCTTTCTGAGCGTGCTTGTTAATATTTGTGAAGGCAACTCTATATAAGCATGCTCTAAAATATTTTCTTAAAGTTCCCGCTACAATTGCCCCCTAAAATTTTGCTGAAAAACTATGCCCTAAAATATTTCGCTAAAATCTATCTTCCAGATTTTACCCACACTAGAAGAAAATCTCCTCGTTCTTCTTCCCTAAAATTCCATAAGCAAAGTTGAGGGCTCTTCTCTTATCTTTTAGCAGATTGAGTAAAGCAAAATAGAGTGGGTTGAAATACTTCTGTTGGGTTATGTGGAAATCAAATTCAATTGGGGATTTCGTTGTTTAGGGCTTACAACCGCTTCAAAAATCCCGTGTAAGATGACTGCCAATTTTAAATTTAAGCTCTATTATTTTGTGATGGAAGTTTTTTATTCTTGATAGGAGAATACTTTTTATTTTCTCTATGGTGTTTGCTCTCAAAGAAAGAGATCTGATACTCGTAAAGCCTCTTTGATTTAGTTTGTTATCTTGCATTTTTTTAACTTTAGAGACAAATGAATATAGCAATTTTTGTAGATGATGAGTCCGGATTATTATCATGCGTTTTTTAATGTTGAGAATATCTGCTATTTGTACCTATTCACTAGATGGTGGAAGTATTCTGCTCTTATTGATTGAGGATTACTCATCTGATACGCGTGCTTTTTTGCTCGCTTGTTAAGGTAAAGTGTAACTGTTAATGCACATTCCAGCGTGTTATTATTATGTTGACTATTTATCAATTGTAAGGGGCAGAGATCACGATGTAGATTTACATATGTTTGTGGAGAATTGTTACATATATTTGTTAATATCCTCGTTGTTTAAAATTAAGAGGAAGAAAAATAAAATTAGTAATATCTTACCACCTGGTCTACTTCTCTTGAAAGAAATTCTTTACAGCTCTTACTTCTCAAAGTCATGATATTAAGGTTTATTTACTTTTGGTTAAAGCCAATATAAAATGTGTATGATTTGAATGAACATTGCGGCTTGAAATGACACTCATAATTTGTGAATGTGCTAAAAGCATATTTTGAGTTGTTACTGCAATAGTTCTTTTTGTATGTCGTGGGGAGTATATATGCTGAAATATTTAAAAACACACAAAAAAGAGGGAAATGAATTATGTTAATAATTTTGGAGCAAAACTATTAAGAGAGTAGGTAAATGTATTGATGATTGGGATAATTTATTGATCAACGCTAGCTCTAAATGGACGAAAATAATAGGAGTAGAAAAGGTCAAAATTGGCAAAGGTTTTGCTTATTGCCACAATAAAATGGTTTCATTTTTATCGATAAAAGCAGAGATTGACATGATTTGCGTTTTAAGTCTCATACCAATTTAGATTGACAAAACTTTAAACTTTTGCTAAAGGATTTTCTTTAAAACTACTTTTGGGTATTATTACAACTCTAGATATTAATGTTAGCAGCTTGTGTATTTCACATGTGTATGTGGCTTTCAAAAGAACTACTTGAGTATTTAATTGACAGAAGTTGAAATAGTTGGGTGCTAGATCTGGATGCAAGTTTTGATGCATCTTCTAAAGGATAAAAGGGTGCAGAACTTACACCTTGAATTGATTGATCAATTAAACTAAGAAAATGAATATAGATGATAATTGTCCGCTTTGAGCTGATATTTGAACTTAATCAGTTGTTTTATTGTTAAAACAGTGGCAACTGGAAGCGGACAATCCTAGTTATTAGTTGATGTATTTGCTACCATGGCTGAAAAGACTCAAATACTAAATAATTCTCACTCAATTGATTATGTCTGACACAACCTTGTTGTTCTCACTTTTCTATCAATTAGTTTTACTTTGAATATCTCTTAATTGCTCTTGAGAAGTTAGAGCTCAAACTATCAATCCCAGAATGTTGGAATGCTTTCATTTTATGAAGTGTGGTTGGTAGGCTTTTTCTAAAGTTCCAGGACACACTACATTTAATTTAGGTCTATAAGAAGTTTAAAACATCAGACAAATTCTATCTTTCCTGCTCTCTTATTCTTTCTCACCATATTTAGTAAAAACTAGAACACCCATAAGAACAACACTGTAATGTTAGTACTCTAGCTCAGCATGAATGCTTCATGTATAACTCTAGTATGCAGTTGCGAATCCAAAATTTTAAAGTCATGGGTGCTTGCCGAAAAAAAAGTTCCAAAAAAGGAGGGAAAAGGAGTTTAGTTGTGGATGTTTACACAGTGTTTATCTAAATTTTTTATAATTGCCGATGTAAATCTATTAAATTTGGTCAAAGGCAATGGGTGCTTTAGCACCCATAATACTCCATGTAGATCCGCCACTGCTAGTATGGTACTCCTATTCTTTTTTTCTGATTTATTTTTAATTTCATCTGAACTTACTCTTATTTCTCTTTTTTCCTTCTTTCTGTTTGTTGACAAAACCATCTACGAGTTCTGGCAGTGTCTACTTGGTTTGAGTTTATATCATTAAAATTATTTGTTTGTATATTTTAAACTTTTTGTGCTTTTTTAGATGTCTATTTGTTTTTAGATTATAGTTTGGCTGATTTAATCATTTCTGATTTTATATATGTAATTAGGTTGTTACACTTTTAGTATGTTAATCATACTATTTGTGGCTTCTAGCTTGTTTATTCACAAAAAGCAAGGTATGCGTGCTATTATATTTTTAGCAATATTTAGTAAAGAAAAAGATAAATTACACTGAGCTAATTTGCTGCTTTTTCCATCTGTTATCAAGCTAATTGATGATTTTTATCATAATTCAATCTATATGAAAACAGTATAGGTAAAATTTCATCAATTCTACTGAAGCGCTGAAATATAAGTGAATTTCTAATCTAATTGTTACTACCTCCTAATGAATTCCTGTGGGAAGTATATCTCGTTCTTATCTCCTGGTGTTCATACCGGCTAATTAGTACCATCTTGGTACCATGATATTATTGAAAAAAATTATATTTTGTTATTAATTATCTTTCTGTGTAGGCTATTATGATCATCCTCCATGTGTGATGAGATTCAATCTTGTTTTGGCCTTCCATCAGGTGACTTTTTCTTCAAACAACAGTAAACATGTCGATAACCTGAAATTTTGTTCTCCCTATTGATCTTGTAGTATATTCAATAGATGTATGTAAATCTGCCTGCTTTATAATACTCATCTTATAATATATATTGGAAGCTAAAATGGAGATATAATTTTTTCACATTATTTCCAGGCTATAACAAACAATGCATCTTTGTTCGTCTTAGTTGCAAGTATTGGAAGACAGAGCTACTAAAGAGAATAAAGAAAATGCAAATGGGGAACTAAAGGCTTACAAACCTTCAGAAGTTTCTATGGGTTTGAACAAGAAAAGCTCACACGCTGATTAGATTAATGGTGAGGTCAAGCTTACAAAAATGGATCAGTTACAAAATCAGGAGATGATGTATTAGAAAAGAAACTTGTAGCTAAGGGGATATCAAATGGGGTTTCTAATAGATGCTAACTTCAATGATTAATATGTATAAAGTGTTATCATGATACATAAATTTTATTTTTTTTCAGTTTATTGTTAGGTTGCACCTTTGAACAATTGGTTTTACTATATCTGATAATATATGTTAGGTAATAAATGTGATTACTTGGGATATTAAAAAAATGTAATTTAATTAAAAAAAAAAAAGAAGCATTTTATAAGGATTCTTGCAGAAGCTACGCTTGAACAATGTGGCCTATAAGGTTGAAAGTGTTGCTACTGGACTTTAAAAGTGTTAGTATAAGGGGTATGCACAAGGTGGTCTAAAACAACATTTCAAAAGCGTGACCTTAGGTCAAGGGTTATGCCAATTTAGGCCATACCAAAGTCAAAAAGTGTTGTTTTCGCTTAAATGTCACACTTTATAATAATTTAGGTCACATTTTTTAATGTGGTTGAAGGATTAAAATGTTGTAGTGATATATAAATAACTAACAATACCTGCTACGGTGACGTTGTTTTCCCTTTATAAATGCAAAGGCAAGGACATAACACGAACATACCTCAGGGGTATCATGTCTTAGCTTTTGTTGTGTTTCGACATACGAGGTTGGTTAAACAAAGTACATTAAAGTAAATGTAAGTGGGCAAGTCGACAATATTCTATCACTTGCTTTCGCTGCAGCAATTACTAGGTAGTTCATGTTTTGTTTTTGTTTGACTTATCCAGTCAAAGAATTCTTTTTTTTTAAAGGAAAAAAAAATGCATGATGTTTAGATTTGATTTAGCCGCCAAAGTATATCTTTGACCAGCTCACCCCTAAAGTATATAATGCATAAAAACAGGATTGTTTTGTATTTATGCTCCACTTCTTCATCCTTTCTACAATTCTACTACTAGAGTACGTAAAGATTAGACTACATAACTATTACTTAGATGGTAGACGTTGGGGAATCATTTGTCATTTGGATCTGAACTTTCGTAGCTGGACTAATTCCTTCTTTGTTGACTTGAATATCAAATTAAATACCATAATCAACTAGAGTGCATATCACATATTCACATTGTTACTGCTGATTATTATTGAAGCCAAAAGAAGTGCCTTTCTACTGTTTTCGCAGAGACCTAACGCTTTAATTGATTGATGATTAAAGACACTTGATAATCCGAGTAATAGTGTGAGAACTAGTATTTTTTTGGGATTCAAGAGCTTATATATATCCAAAATAATTAGTTTTTATCCTTTTACATAGTATATAATTTTTAGCAAAACCCCAACTGATCAACCCCAGCTTCCTCTAAGCTAGTTCCGCCACCGAGTGCATGTGGTGGCTGCTGAAGTGGCAACACTTGCCTTCTATGTCTTTACTGGGTATAACTTTAGGCCAAAGGTGCATAACCCCTATTTTGCTATTGACAATGAAGAGGAAGAAGCTGCTGCAGAGGCACGCGAGTGTGAATTGAGATCACCATGTAAGAATATGTACATTGGAACAGCCAAAGGAGAATACTACACTATATCAGAACATGTCGTACCTTTCTTTTAAAGTACTTTTATATATGCAGAATTCTGTTTTACATTTGGAAACACTACAATTTTACTTGTTGATTGTCAAATTCAAGATATTAGTGTCAGCTTTCTAGTTAATGTGCTGTGACACAAGCTTTTCGTAGCAGAAAATATAAATGATTCTACTGTCTTAATGGTGTACTTGGTAACTAAAATTTCGTCTGCTATTGTAGTTGGCTAATTACAAGGACATGCAAGATATGCTGCTTTGCTTTATGAAACGGTTTGCATCTCTTGCAGCTGGCTTTATATTTAAGGGCCACTAGATTAATGATTGCTCAGGTACAGGTTGTTACCACAAGCATGCCTTTGAACTATCGCCTTGTAAGAAAGGATGAATGCATTTCATGCAAGCAGCAAGTCCATTATAATTTAGAAGAATTAACCCAAATAGCCGTCCACCCAACCGCTTAAACTAAAAATAGCCGGTGGAGATATAAGTTATGCATATATATGTATAACTGTGTATAATCAATGTATAAATTATGTATATGACTAGAAAAAAATAAACATTGAATATGGACGGCTATTTTTGTAAATATCCCAATAATTTATACATTTTTCTTGAAGTATCATATCTAATACATAAAAGAATAAAAAATAATAAATACTCATATAGTTTAACCATGTTTACTGGACTAGTGGGCAAGTATTGATTTGCCATCCTGAAACATGTGGTAAATAAAAAGTTGAGATGGCCGAGTTGGTCTAAGGCGCCAGATTAAGGTTCTGGTCCGAAATGGCTTGGGTTCAAATCCGTCTCTCAACATTCGTTTTCTCGTCTCGCAGTCTCATCTGATGTCATAGTTAAGGACAGAGGACTTTATTATTTTCGAGGGCATAACTCACAAGGATAGCTAATCCAGTTTTACACGTAATAATAAACTTTTGGTTCTTATTGCTCATGATCTATCATTCTCTTTTAAAAGAATGTGCAAAAGATGTACACTTTCTTGCGAGACCCTTCCATTTTAAAACAAGAAGACTTGTAACAATTAGATTAGAGAGTAACTATACATTGTGTTCACTAAGTGGAGACTCCAATATATAATAGCAAAATGGAGTACGTTAATCAAAATCAATATTGACCATTCATTTCTTCTCTGAAGTCAAAGCAGGAAGTCAAGATAAAAGCTTTCAATGTGAAAACTTAAGAGAGCCGTTAATAAGTCCTCAAGTGTCACTATGTCCAGTACCTAAACCTTCATCTTACAGGGTGGTTTACAAGTTACGACAACTACACCGTTAATATTGTTGGAATATACTATTAACCATGTGGTTTAGTTATAGTATTCTGTTTTATTCTTTATGCAATAATTATTTATTTGATTTATTCAATTCAATAAAGTATTATTTTAAATAGACCATTTGTTAAATGTGTATCATTTAGTTATGTAGTAGACAATTTAGTATATGGAGTCTTAGCTCATGCACAAAAGATTAAATTGTCGGTTCTCATAATTAATAAACTATGTTCACAATCGAAGATATTGTTGGGGAAAATATCCTGATGATTGTAGTACAAGATTAAAGTATAATTTATCTTGATTATGGGAGTAGTTTTACACCAACTTCTTGNATTTTCTCTGATTCATTAAATGAGCTTATACTCCTAATCTTGATATAGTTATTATGATCAATATAATTTATTTATTGTTTTGATTTATCAAAAGATACAACTCTATTTAGAGTTAGTGTATGCCAAATAGATTGGAAAATAACGAATAGCATTTGTGAAATAATAATTAGTTGATAGACTCCGTGACTCGGTTTTGAGTTTGATAATACCCCTTTATGTAAGCTTATAAGTTTTCATCTGAAAACCCGATCGGTGAATTTTGTATCCATTACATGAAATGGTTTAAGCGGAATTGTAAAGGATTTAATTAGTTTATTAAATTAAATTATCAATAATTTAGTTTAATTAACTGGTATTGGTAATCTTGACATGGGGAGTTAAAAATAAGTTTTAATGAATTTCGAAATTCATATTGAGGAGCTCAATTGTAGCTTTTAGTGGAATAAACTGCGATTAATTATAGTAGAATTTAATTCATCCGAATTTTGAATTAATACTATAATTGGTAGCCTCTTATTGTTTCTGTGGTCTCTGCTATACCTAGTAAAAATCTGGACTGACTTGGGTAAAAAGTAACTTGGGAGAAAAGTCATCCTTTTGAGTAAGAGTAGGATTCTACTTGTACTAGTAGATTCCTACACGTTTTTGGGCCCCTTTTTTGGCTTAATTTCGAGTTTACATAAGGAAGACAAAATTCACCCAATAACTCACTTTTTAGAGTTGTATTGTTTTGCCCACTCAAACAATTTCATCCAAGGTCTTACAAGGAGCATAGCAGAAGACTGCAGCCCTGGATTTTTGCTCTATGGAGGACCTGTGCAACAATTTCAAGAGGTTAGTGTTTCTTATCTCCGAATTATATCATTGTCTAGTTTACATGTTTGTGATACCTGGATTGTCTGCTTGCTTCCGCTGCGCATGTTCTAACAATTGGTATCAGACTCCGTTTTATATCTAACTAGATAATGTAATACAACATGAATAGATTAACATTAAAATGTGTTGTTAAATTATACATGTTTGGTGTAGTTATTCTATGAAAATAGTGGTGTTTTCTCAAAAAACGTGATTGTTTTAAGTAGTATTTTAATTCTAAAATTATAGATTAACATACATCAGTATAAACAATGGTGCTATATTTGATGACAATGTTGTTTTCCCATGTTTTGTTGTATTTTTTATCCATGATAACAGTGTTGGATTTAATAAAAACGTGACTGTTTTGAGTACTATTTCAGTTCTGAAATTATGGATTAACATACATAAGTATGTTATGTGATATGAACGAGTCAAAATAAACATAACCCTAAAAATGCCAAAAATATAGATTTTGCAAATAGGTCATGAATTTGAAATTCTGAAATTCTGTCAAACTCCGATTGACCTCAAATTTGGTAGGTTCATCGGGAATGTCATTTTTCGGGCATTCGGGGTCGTTTAGATGGGTTTTTGGACATTTTTCTATTTTCTGGAAAAAAATTTAATAAATTTTTTTTAAGAAAACGATGATGGTAGGGTTCAATCCCCATGGTTTCCTATCATGTTTTACAGTAATATAATGAATTTATATGTTGACACAGGTCTTCTTCCACATCGGATAAAATTATTATAGATGATTACTGTAGTTTTGCCTTTAGTTATTTGATAACTTGTATTAATTCTCCAACTGAGTTACATGTTGATTCAATGAAACTAGGATTTATAAAAGTGATATTTACCTATCTTAAATTAACAATTTACTCTCCATCTGAGTTGGTCCTGTTTTAATTTATGGGATAAATATCTTACATAACTCATATATTTTGCATGAATAGTTAAGTTTCCCTAACAAATCTAACTGTTCAATGAGCATGGTTATATGTGTAATGTGCCATTTTGAATTTTATTATTCTAATTGCATAACTAATGATCTATTTAATGTGAATATCTCTCAGATTAACCATGTCTTCATTCAACCCATTTACCTC